GAGAGAGAGAGAGAGAGAGAGAGAGAGAGAGAGAGAGAGAGAGAGAGAGAGAAAGATGTTATAATCCAGCATGGACAATGTATCTGAAAGTGTACCTTGACTTAGTACAATTATCTTACATGTTTTACATTTTCTTTAGACCTACATTTATGTAATTAATTGTATAAGGTCTTCTAAGATGAATAAATTAATCTGATGCTGGAAGAATGAAAGCGGGGTGGAAGGAAAGGGAAAAAGACCTGAGGCACATTACATGCATGCACCCTACAGTGACAGTATGTACTGCAAACATGTACTAATCAAAATAAGGAAAAAAACAGTTGCATCCACCCAGCTGCCTTGAGCTCTACCTTTGTGGACATCTCCTTTGGTCACCTCTACCCTGGGTGATCATGAATCTGCTCCCTGTCACCATGGTTTTGCCTTTTCAACAGTTACATCAGTGGAACCATGTGGTGTGGGAATGGCCTTTTTTCATTCCCAAATGTGTTTGGAAATTCATCCAACTTGTTGCACATATGCATTCTATTTCTATTGTTTCTGAGTAGTAGTCTATAGATGTAACATTGCTTATGCAGTCACTTGTTGATGACTATTTGAGGTATTCAGATTTGGTGATTACACATGCAGTTGTCATAACCATTCAGGTAAGATGTTTTAAATAAATGTATGTTTTCATTTCTCTATGGTAAATATCTGGGGGTTGCATCGCTGGTCATTTGCGAAGAGTATACAGAGCTTTGTAAGAAACTGCCAAGCTGTCTTCCACAGTGGCTTCCCATTTTGCATTCTACCAGCACAATATGAATTTTAGTTGTTCCTCATCCTCATCAGGATTTCTATCATTACTATTTTTTATCCAGCCTTCTAATAGGTGTGCAGTATCATCTTATTGTGATCTTGGTATACATTTCCCTAATGCGTATCATGTTAATTTTTTTTTTCATGTGTACTTTTGCTATCTATATATATTTGTTAGGGACATGATTTTCAATTTTTTTTTACTTTTTTGTTTTAAATTGAGTTGTCTGCTTTTTTACTATGAAGATTTGCATGGCTTTTTTGTTTTTTTCATATTCTGGCCACAAGACTTTTGTCATACATAGGTTTATTCTATTTCTTTTCTATTTTTTAAATTTTGATTTGTACATTGTGAACTATATCTCAAGTGGCTAGGTCTTATTATTTTTTATTCTTTTTTAAAAAAATCACAGGAAAGGTTATGTATGTCAGCTGGAATTAAGACTCCTAAAAGATGGGATCTGGCGATTTCTAATACAGCCTTTGTTAATTTTGATCTCATCGACTGTGTGGCCATCAGAACTTGTTCTGGCTGTTCTCGAGGACAGGGTAAGTTTGAGTAGATGGGACAGATGGTAAATAAGGCCAGTATTCAAGTGAATATGATACAGTCCTTGTGAGCCAGTATTTCTTTCAGTTACCAGGCTATATCTAAGGAGCTATTGTTCAGACATCCTAAACAAATTCTAGGGAAGCCAATACCGTCAGTGTGGTTTCTGCAGCTCCTGTCTTCTGCTTGTTCTGGTGTCCGTCACATTCTATCACTGTGTTGCTGTGTCTCGCTAAACTCTGAGCTGTATGAAAGCAGAGCTCACATCTCCCTTGGTCAGTATTTAATGACTCAGATATAGCAGAGAATCTAGTGCTTAGCAGGCAGTTCAGAGATACAATGGATAAACAGTTGAGTGGATGGACATATGGACACTGACTAATCTGAATAAATCTCTTCTGAAGGACCCAGAATTCCAGTATTTACTGCTTTCAGCTACACAGGGCTTGATATATGCACGAGGAGAACCATAGGAATCCTTGTGTACTTGTTAAACACATCTCAGAACTGGTTAAGCAATACCTTGGAGGACTCACAGGCCAAGGAGAAAGAAGGTAGCAAGCAGTCTAGTTGATCTGATCGCTCCAAGAAGCCAAACCAAGTAATTCCAGTAAATATGCTCTTGTGGTTTGAATCACCAATTTAGATAATTGTTTGTTTTTTTAATTAAATGAATAATCAGCAAGTTTCCACTCTCCTTTTTTTCCTCAAGTAGGCAAAGCCAAAGGCTGTTTTCATTTTGGGGACATCTGAGTTTAAGACTGTAAAAATAATAATAGGGATAAGAATGCCTCAAGGCAAATCATATTTCTTCAATTCTTTAATAGCTTACTATTTCATCTCATTCATAAGACACTGAAAAAAATCACATTGTTCATTATGGGCATTAATCCCTTCTTACTGGATCCCCTTGGCTAAATCATCCCTTCATCTGCTTAAAAACTGACTATTCTAGGCTCTACTTAAGGAACCAGGAAGTACAAAGATGAAAGATACTCAGTTTTTGTCTTTAGTACAGAAATAAACATCTAAGCCCATCACTGAAATAGAGCGATGAGCACAGCACTGGAGAACCGCACATGGTCAGCAAAGGGACCGTGGAGGGGTAAGGTCAGATCTCATAGAGGGGCCTCTTGAGTGGAGACATGAGAGGTAAGTAGAAGTTTGCAAGCAGAAAGAGATGGAGGAGAGTTTAACTGTATTAGAAATAGCATATGCCAGAAACAGAGATTCTGAAGAGCGAGTTGTGCTTGGGCAGTCATGAAGTCTAGCATGACCGAAACACGGAGGTAGGTAGGTAGCAGTGGCTGTTAGTGAGCTGTACAACTTGCAAAAGGTACAATTTGGAGTCTTTCATGCAAGATTTAAGTGCCTATGTGTATTACTGTCAACTAGCAGGTAGAGCCCATGGGTGTTGTTAAACTTCCTGCAGTGAACAGGGTTATCTATACAACAAGAAACTGCCTGAAACAAAACACCAATAGTACCAAGTGTGAGAACCTCTGGTCTCATGGAAAATGTAAACAGAAAGCATTCATTTACTATTACTAAACACAAGAGATGACACACTCTAGTCTTTCCATCTTTTATCTTCCATTCATCAATGGTGAGTCTGATCACATCAGTAATATCTATATCTATGAGATTTATACTTTGAACAGTTACCCTAATAATAGTCTTTAAAAAACAACTAGTGGTACCAAAGAATCATGGTAGTGGTGTTAGAGAAAGTGCCACGATGTGTACACTAGAGCTAATACTTAGAAAGGGTGTTACTATTACTGTGGGCACAAATGCTTGATTGAAGGTTGGTAATATCATAGAAAATTTAACAGGATCCCTGGGCTCTTCCTGCTAGCTGGCTCTGCCAACACCCTCCCAGTTGTGATAGCCAGAAATGATTCCAAATAGTGCCAAAATTTCCTGAAAGGAAAAATCACCCCAGGTACAAATCACTGCCTTAGAGCACCAACTGCATGATGGCTGGGCCAGCGCTGTTCTTGGTTCACCCAGAATCTGTGCCATGCACAACCTAGCTTTCCGTGAACACTCGCGGTATATTTTTCTTGTATGCATAAGGGGTGAACTATAATACTGAATACCTTTGCAAGTTAAGGTATTGAAAGGACTTCAGTGAATTTAGTTTACCTCTGTGACTGTTATCCTATACCTTTGGTCAACTGTCTTTCCATTTCCTAATTTACAGGTGGATTTACTGTGAAGACCAACAATTTGAAGTTTACAAACTCTCCACATTTAGTAGCATTTCCATTTCCTCATTCGGCAGTTGTAGAAGACTTGGATGGATCTTTGTCTGGGAAAAACGGAAGTCACATTCTGGCTTCTATGGAAACCCTTCCAGCTTCTTGTTCAGTCAATGCAAACTTCAGTCGGATCGTCCAAGGCAGTGTCTGCGGGGAAGGTGTTCTCTTTCATCGTATGTCTATTGGCTTGTAAGTGGAATTAACTTGTAAGTGGACATTTTAGCTTGGCAATGAGCATGTGTGTATCATTCAGACTATTGAGGCTTGCAGGAGAGAGATTATTTTGTGATGATTTAAAGTATTTAGTTCTATAAAAGTGAAATGGAAAGAGCTGACCACGTGAAATCACGAGTTTACGGTAGTTTGGGGCTGATTCGAATGGCAGCTGTCAATATCACCGGACCAGATCTCTTATAGCTCATGACATTTTGAGCTAATAGCTTCTTCTTTAAAATATTTGCAACCAACAGAGAATTTGAAATATATTTAAAAGTATTATTTAAAAATCCCAATAACGTCCATCCTCATTTGTATACATAGCCTGTCCGCAAGCACTTTAAGTGCTCAGTATGCTCCAGGGAAGCAATTGCTGGTGCTTCGTATTACTTGCAAAGTTGCTTCACTCCAGTTCATTTTCCTTGTTAATTTCATGAACTATTGGATTCGTACAATACTTTTCCTATTAATATTGGAGCAAGGACTCTGTGGTTATGCTACTCAAGCTGCCATTAAGTCAGCAGCTGGGCTGTTTATAATGCATAATAGGATTGCTTCTGCCCTCTTTAATTTCCAGGTAATGATTGCCAAGTGTCTAGGGTTCTCTCTTTTACCTATTTCAAATGCATTGTATATATTTAGCCCCACTTATTTCCTGCCTTTGTTTTAAATGTCCTAACTCCATGAATATTAAGTCACTAATTCAATCAGACCACCTTGGCATCTTATTTGAATTGGTAAACTACAGAGAGGGGCATTTTATGGTCAGGATTCCACTAATTCTGCATTTTGAATGCGTGTGGAATCAATATCTTATCGTTCTGCTTTGGAAGGTTCAACAGTACACTCCTAGCATTGAATAATCCAAACATTTTTCATTTTTTCTGTCTGAATTGTTTACTATTCTAATATTAATGGGCTCAACTCCAGTGAATAAAATAACCATAATGGAGGGATATATTTTCACTTCTCACTTTGGTTGTAGAACATGACTTTTCCTTCATTCTAGGGGGGATAGCCTGATAGTTTAATGTCATTTTAGTGCTTTCAACAAAGATGGTATAAAAGAAAGTTTTGGGATTTGTGAAAGCTAGTGATGTTTTTCTTATATGCATTTTCTTAAATGAGGAAAATAGAAAAGATAGGTGCAGTTCAAAGGAAATTACATGCTTGTATGATTCATCTTCCTATGGATATGTGATATTCCTGTTTCACGCCTTGAAGAATTTCTTACACTGTCTCCTGGTGAGGCCCTTGTCAGTGTGGAGGCAGAGGCTATGCAGTCTCAGTCTTCTCTGAGCCTCCACACCTTGAGCTCTTCAGAGAAGGATATACAGGTAGCTGGCTTGGCAGGAGATCATGATCTCAACAGAGACTGAGGAGATCAGGAAGACGATAATCCTGATGCTACACTCTAGGTAGATTCAGAGAACTCGTAGTAGGTTGAAGAAATTCATCTTGGTTTTTCAGGACATTCCAAGTTTTAAAATGGAAATCTGCATGGCCTGGAAACCTCTTGAGTACCATAAAAACTGGGATAATTAGCTGCCCTATTTCCTATATGTCTATTTAGGATTTTCAGGTGTAGTTGCAGGTATATGGAAAAACATGCAGCTGTCTCACATGAGCCCTGCCAAGGTCCCAGTATGCTTCCACTTATGTGTCTTGGCCCTTGGGTTCTTCCCTGTAGGCTAAGGCCATTGGGTTAGATGAGCTCTGAGTTCTTGCCATTCAAAGGGCGGTCCATCACTGCTGGCCTCAGCGTGGCCATTGAGCTCCTTAGAAACGCAGAGTGTCAGGCTGGACCTCAGATGTCCTAACTCAGAATGCCCAGGTGATTCATAGCAAAGTTGGAGTAGCACTGCTCTGAGGTCCTTCTAATTTGATCGTTCTATGATTCTATCCCTAGCTATTTGTGTTCACTGGCTTGATCTTTGTCCCAGAGCATTATAACCTCATTAGGAACATGTCAGAGCTAATGAGCAATTTGAATTCAGTGTAGATACAAACTTTACTGCATTTCATGAAGAAAGGACTAATTTGTTGTGCTATTTGCCCTGGGGAAAGCACCCTAAGAGTTGATTTACAAAGCTCCACATTGTGATTTTTTGGGGTTGCGGGTTGATGGAGATCCGACATGGCACAAGTGCCCTGCTGTCTTCACTTTCAAATGTTTCCCTCGCTCAGCAAGAGGTCTCCAGAGGGCAGGGAGTGAGGCTTTACACAGCTACAGAGACAAGGGTACCCTTTTCCACCAGGTGCTAAAATCCAAGTGCTCGGAGTGTGATTCTTCCTTGTTAGACCCCCTCTGGTCCATTTTGACATTAGAAACCTTCCCTTCCTGCATCTCACTGCCTTATTTAAATCCGACAGCTGCCCACATATGTGGCTCCCATGATTCAGTTCTACCACCTGGGTTGACAGAGGCACATAAATATTTGAAGGTGGCCATAATATTTCATTCTGAGTGAAGAACAAACTGCTACCATGTGTAAGACGGTCAAGTTTGCTTTGTTAAAATGACAGCATGAGTGCTGCTGGTGTTGTTCTCTCTCTTATCGGTTTTAAAACATGCTTTCTGCAAGAGCCACAGCATTCTGGACTGTGCTTCCTCCACAGCTACGATTTCCTCCAAACTCCTGTGAAACTGTCTTCCAAAAGAGGCAAAGATGATGACGTGTAGTCAGCACCTACTTTAATAAAAGCAACCCTAGAGTCCTCAAATAGTGCCCTGCTACCAGAAGCCTTGGGTTTATGAATCCCAAAATATACAGTGGATATTTAAATTTAAAAAATGTATTACAATAAAAGATACATTGTCAATAATCCCTCTGCAAATGCTCCCATTGCATGGAGCACACTCATCCCATCTCTCTTGCCACTTTAGCAGCTCTGGAAGCAGTTCTAGAAGTCGTCTTTCATGAAGATCTTTATGAAGTGTGATTAAAAATATGGCACATGCTGATACTAAGCGTCATCCAGAGTAAAGGCAGGATCATAAAAATGTTACGGTGTGTCCTCGTTCACCTTATTCACCAGATCTGGTACCAGGTGACTTCTGGCTCTTCCCCAGAGTCAGAATGCCCATGAAAGCTAAGCGTTTGGAGTCATTTCAGGACACTGTGGCAGCCACAAGAGCATAAATAAAGATACTTTAGTTGTGTCTAAAGAGAACTTTCAGAACTGCTTCAGAAAGTGTTAAGAATGTTTGAAGTGAGGGGGATTCATGGCAATGTATCTTTTATTGCAATAGAGTTTTAAAAAGTTTAAACATTGGATAATGTTATCAGTAGATTTTTTGTGCTTACCTTCTAGGTCCCTCTCATTAGCTCCCCTTTTTGTCCTTTAACTGCTGGCATTCTTTAGGGTTCTAGGGTTCTTTCTTTTCCTCTCAGGCCATAGACACTATCCTGGCAATCTGGGTTATTTTCACAACTTCAGTTAGCATTCACGGATAAGCCCCAATTTTTTCTTCCTGTCTGTCCTGCTTTACTACACTGCAGACCTGTGTATTCAACTACCATTAGAATCTATACTGTCCAGTACTATGGAGATAAATGGCTACTGAGTTCTTGATTGTGGCTAGTCTAACTTAAAATTTATGTAAGTGTGAATTATACATCTTATTTCTAGGAAATACAGACATTATATGAAAAACTCAGTAAAAAGTACTATAAAATATTTGAATAATTTTCTTAAACTGGTAAGGAGGGTGGGAATAAGGTCTTGTTTGTCTTATGGTACTAATACCACGTAGTTACCAAAAACTGGCATATGGTCACTATAAATAAAAAATTGTGGACTCTTCCAGAATCTTCCTTTATTGTCATCACAGTCCATTTCTCTTATGTTCATGAGGAGTCACTGACATTCAGGTTTTGTGCAGAAGACACAGGGATTACAACGCTACCTCCAGTTTTATTTCTAAAATTCCTAGAAGCGTTTAACACTTCATGTCCTTTCATGTTGTCGCTGGGGCTTCTGCTTTTCGGGAATTACCAGCTGCTTAAAGGATTTAGTTTAACTGCACATTCCTTCTCCACTCAGGGCTCACCCCAGCACTACTGTCAGTAGCTTGCTTAGATTTGCGATTGTTTTCTTGCTTGGTGGAACTGTTATGGTGAGAATGGGAACTTGGTCTTGTGATTTTCATTTGAGAAATATTGTTTTTGGTCTGGAGAACGCTGTATCTTTTTCAGCTGTGCTAGGCTTACACCAACATCAACAGATCAGACCTTAATTTTGCCTTTCAATTACTGACCTCACTGAGTGTGGAGGAAGTGAGCTGGTGACATGTTGTAGGTTGGTCAACCAGTCCTTCTGGTTTCTTGTGCACTGTACATAAAATACAGTCAGGACGTCTGCATTATGTTTGCAATTATTTTTCAAAATCTTGAAAAATAGAAGTGTTTCAAATCATGGAGGAGTACAGGTCGTGGCTCCTCTACATCCTATGTGTATTCCTTTGGGCAAATTGTTTCACCTCTTTTTGCTTCAGTTCTGACATCAGTCAAATGGGTATCTCACAAGGTCATTGCCAGGCACATAGTAAGTGCTCAGTAAATGCTGCCTAAAAAAATCATTATTTTCCATTTGGTATTTACAAACAGGACATAAATATATTACTAATTTAATAAAATATTATAGATTTTATGTTTCTGAGAAACAAAGGTCTGGCAAAGGAATTAAATTTGCTCAAATGGAACTTAATCCAATTCTTCAAAACAAAGAAATAATTTCCAATAACCATAGGACATGATGCCAACCCGGCGAAATTTTCCAGGTGGTCACAGAATCTGGAGTTTTCAGGACCGGGTTTTGATTCAATGTGCCACATAGTTACTGTTTCTTCTTTCCTACTTCTAGAAAAGAAAAGGTTAATGTTCTTGTTGATCACCTTGATTCTTAGACCTTGCTTAATATCCTCTCCTGCAGTGTTTGCGTTCAGTTTTCACCTATGTAACTGCTCTTAC